GATTCTGAGCATGGCTGGTAAACTCAGAATTAGTATATATATATATGTATATATATATATATACATATATATATATATATACATATATATATATATATACACTGTATATAATTTGTCAGCACCATCAACACCAAGTTAAATTCCTTGTAAGTATGTATATATATATATACATACATACATATGTATGTATGTATATATATACACAGAACACGGAATCTATAGCTATGTACAACATAAAACATATAATATATGGACCGCAGCGTCCTGCCAGAGGGAAGTGACTGGACTAGTTTGTGGCTGGCCGGGTGCGAGGGAGCAGCCACAATCTTCCCTGCACACCTCAGAGTCCTTGAGGCATGCAGCTCCTGGAGAGATGGAAGATGGCAGCCAATCATCTTCTCTGCAACCTGGATAACACGCTACAGTCTGCCCTTGTCCTTGGTGGTGGCACCAGCGTACCAGATGATGATGGGTAGCCATCAGTGATGGAAGAGTAGAAGTGCACCATCATTGTCCTTGGCAGGTTGAATTTTTTCAGCTGCTGCAGGAATTACATCCATGCGGTGCTCCCACTTTGGGTCCTGTGTGATGATGGTTCCCAGGAAGAGGGAAGACTCTATGGTTTCAATTGTGGACTCACAGAGGGTGATGGGCTCCAGGTGCATGTTCTCCCTGCACCAGGTCGCCACACAGTCAACCTCCTCCTCACCATGGTGCACTGCTTATGGTGAACTCAGCTTTTCTTACAGACGTCATGGTTTATAAAGAGTCGTGAAGAAAATGAAGGATATGGTTGATGCTTTAAGCTGATTAAACAGTCACAGCAGTAGCCCAGTAGCTGATGGTTTTCTTAGCATTTGTGATAGACGCCTCTGTATTTGCAGTTTGCTACTCTGGTGCATAGGTGAATGTTAAATGAAGGCAATATAGATATTGTTGGTCATTTCTACAAATGAAAAGCAAATTAGTTGGTAACTGGTTCTGCATTTTGCTTCTTCATAAGTCAACATCCTTTGGTTTTCTCCATGTGAGTCATTTCAGCATTGACCCTTTGTCCTATTATTTTCTTTTCTCTATTTTTAATTAAAATCCTTTACATCAGTCAATTGTGGGTTCATTGTGTCATTCCTGTTTACTGCCATGACATTCTTCCCATTTAAGATCAGGTCAGATTTGAAGAAATTGAAAAACCGCAACAAACATAAAAATCCTCACCTCACACTCTAAAGATCTTAGTTAGCATGTTAAATGTTAAAGTTCATTGTAGGGTCATTGAAAAGGGAGTGAAAGTGTGTGGCTTGTTTTTAAATGTTGCCAGAAAGAAGAATGTTCTTTACATAATATTTTAGATATAAACAATCCACTAGACCGGTGGAAAGAAAATGGAGAGTACAGATGTTTGGTCTTGATGTACATGATGTTTGGGGGGGAAAAAAGTTACCACAGTAAGGAAAATAGCATTTGTTGAGCAAAGCGGTGGAGGGTTGAGAATGTGGGCTTCCTGTGCTGCCAAGAAAACTGCAGTACAGTCTCAAATCCACAACAGAATGAAACTGTTTTAAAGCAGAGTAAATGTTGGCTTCAATACTGTATTACAGGGCTTTCAAAGTATTTTCATGGCATTTTTGCTGCCATTTTTCCCATAATAGATTCTGAACCATAGTAAATATGGTAAATATGTGAGGAATGTCACTAGCAGCTCATTTTTCGCCCCTTTTTTGCTACAGTGATTCCGTAAAGCCCCAATAAATTGTATTCATCAGCTTTCAGAATTTAACTGTCCACTGAAATCCTCATTGGCTTTTTGGCATGAATAGAAGCAAACTGTGGGGGGAAAACAGTTTTGACCTTTTTGGCTAAAATGCAGTCATGTTTAGAAAGCTCTGAAAATATCAACAAGCCAACATAATTCAGGGAAAATGTTTCAATTCAAACAGGAACTTGAAAGCTTCTCGTTGTTTGCTCCTGCAATGAATGCAGGCTATGTGGATTTGAAGTATACATTAGGCGTTTTGATATGTAATGTTCTGATAGTAGGAGCACAGCAGGCTTTAAATGAAAAACACATTGAATGAACATTCAGTGTGTGCGTTGCTTCTGCACAGTTAAAACCAGCAGTTTTTTTCTCCCCCTTTTTGGCTGATGGGCTGAAAGATGGTTGGAACTGACAGCCGTATTTTAGTTATTCCATTTCCCGCCTGGTTTAAGACCAGGCTTTTTACATCCCAGCAGTGATGTTCACAGAATGATCATTATTGATTTAAGGCACACAGAGAAAAGAAGATCCACTCACACATAAATATACAATGCTTGCTGAAGTGGAAAAAAAGGTCTTTGCAGCATCTTACTGCCAGATCTCATACTGAACGCCGTCTCTTTCTCTTGTAGAAAATCACACGGATTGGATTTGGATGCATATCTGAATCTAGAATTATAATTCTACTCTGTAAGAGATTTTACTGTAAAGCTTTTTCCTAAAAAAGAAAAATCAGTCATATCCGTCTCAGTTGTAGGTCTTCTTTCACTTGCAGCAAAAATAAAATTTAGTTTTAGACTCCCATATCATCTTTGCAGAGTTGGATACCCTACCTTAAGGCGGGTAAATGATTAGCTCCCTCCTTTATTTTCTCCTCCCTTCCTTTGAATTAACTCCCCTGCTCTCTTTACATATATAACCTTTGATCTGAATGACTTTGGGTATATCTTCATTAATTTATTGAGAGTAGGATCTTTATCTTTTCCAAGTCAGCTTATCTCGATGCTCTGCTGATAAATAGGACTTGGTTTTCATTCATGCTCCAGTCTTTGGATCTTAGAGGTGTTTTCTGATCAGTTCACCAGTTCCGTTTCTGGTTACCCTCGTCTTTGTGCAGATCCTGGAGGCACTGGCACGAAATGATGACACGCTGCTGCAGATGTGCAGCAGATTGAGCTCCAGCTGTGACATAATACCAAAGGACTTGCAGGTACGCTTCAAGGCCATGTGCGGTGAGAGGACGGAGCACATCAACCGCCGCATCACCAACTACAGAAAGGTACAGATTTCTATTCTTTTTAATGAAAATGGAAGTGAAATGAATAGAAGTTAAAGTGCTTTGAGATGACATGTGTTGTGTATTTGCAGTATATAAATAAATTGAATACAATAATAATAATACTTGAACTTTATTGATCTCCCATTGGAGAAATTAACCTCTGCATTTAACCCATCCCCTTGGCGAGCAGTGGGCTGTCATTGTGCAGTGCCTGGGGAGCATTGTTGGGTTTAACGGTCTTAAACACAAGCGCACTGCTCTAACCACTAGGCCAACACTCCCCTAATCCCCCAATATCAAGTAACTCTGGGGGAACTTCAAAGATCCAACAGCTCAGGTAGGGCACAGAAGACCTCACAGAGAACAAAATTGACTTTCTTGATCCCAAAGGGTAGCCGAATGGAAGCCAAATGGCAGCAAAATCCCCTCCAGCTTCCAGCCACTGGCCTTCTCCTGAGCCTGCATATTTTTTTGCTCTGACTCCACCCTTTCACTGAATTAAGGGGTCTGACCAGGAGATAACGCTTCTGTCATTAGATCTTAATTTACACAAATCATGACAGAATATTTTTGATGTTTAAAAAGGAATTGTAGGGGACTAGCCAAGGATTCGCCCATAAAGCAAATTGGGGAAATTTTAAATTGCTACTACTTTACAGCAGAAGAACTGGGACTAAGATTTTTTTTTCATTCTTCAGAGGGAAAAAGACACACAATATATGTGATCAAAGTGCTTAGATCAAAGCAGATACACATGTTTGAATTATCCAGTCAAAGTCCAGTTCTGGATCTGGAGTCTTTAGATCCACTGAGACACAGCTTAAACTATTTTCATAATGAAGAAATGGGGTAAAAATGACAAAATACTTGTAATGAAGTCTGAATACACTTCTACAGGACACTTCAATCCTCCCTTTATTTCCTTACCTTTTTTGAAAACATGTATTTTTTTTCAACTTAACAATGATTTACTGATGTATTTGGTCTATCATCTAAAAAGCCCCACTGAAATACAGTCCGGTTTGTGTTTAGAATGTGGCTAAAGGAATATTGCAAATAAAAACCAGAAAACTTTTTCTAGCACATGATACTTACCAGAACCAGAGGTTCATCCACAAAAATTGAAATGAAAAGATACTTCTTTTGTTTTTAAATCACTTGCCTTTCTCATCTGTAGAAATCCCCTCCATAGAGCATGCATGCAAGTGTGCATGAGGAAAAGATTCAGACTAACTCCACTTCAGACAGGGGTCTTGGATTAATTACCACCTATAAATATCCCTGCAAAGTCACGGCCAGGACATCCAGTTGTGTAAGATCCCCTTTTGTTGAAGAACGTTCCTCTTTAGACCTCTAGAGGTATGAGAGAGAAGGACTGGGAAGTGTGGAACAATTAAGGCCGAGATAAACAGGAAGATGGTGGAGAAATTAATCAGGACGGAGCTTTTGACGTGTGAAAATAAGAGCTGGAAAGTGAGCGATATTACGTCTCTCCTCTACTTCATTTAGTTATGATCAAACTAACTAAAATAACTGAAGAGAAACATTTGGTGTTTAGAAGGTATATGGTGTTATGACATGATTGGGTATCTCTGTCCAACAATCTGCTGTAAACACACAAGATGGGATATGATAGAGTTCAAGGAGCGTACAAACAAACCAGACGATCCAGGATGACCTTCCAACACTGTGTACCAGGCTTTTCATACTGTAGATATTTAATCTTGCTACATTTAAGGAAGTTTTTTTTTTTTTAAGCAGACTTAGCTTCCAGATGCTCCCTCACAAGTTCTTTATTGTTGATCGACAATGAAGGAAATTCTGCCAGTAATAAGCAGCGTACGCTGGATCCATGTGTGGAAGATTGATCTGAGTTTTACTTGTAAAGACATGTCTGTCAGGAGAAAATATGTTTGACATTTACTCTGGAAAACAGAAATCTGCAGATCCTCAGCAGCAAATTCAAAACATGAACTTACATTCCGGACCTTGTTGATGTCAAACATGAAAATTCACAATTACAACACGTTGATATGAGCTGCTGCGCCTCATTTCAGCTCAGTCTTTATTGGTTTAAACAAAGAAGGGGTTGCGTCGGGGTCTAGGGATTTTTCCACATGTATGAGCCATGTTAATCTTAATAGGCTGTTTTAAATCTTTGATTTTCTATAAATATTTGATCTGCCACATGAAACGGAGGAATGCTAAGAGTGTACGGAAAAGTGGGTCTTTACTTTTCTTCTATTGCCAGCCGTCGGACATGTAAAGGAAAATGCAGCATTTTGTTGACATATGTTCCACTCTGTATTCACATTAAACCTTCCGTTATATGGCTCTACTTTACATCAGCTAAATAATGCAAGCTTGCATCTTCTTAAATAGTTTATGGTCTTGCAAGATCTTATCTCACTACCTTCTGACGTTGACTGAATCTCCTGATTTTCTTGCAGTTTTCTCGGGTACTGAAGAACAGAGCGTGGCCCACCTTTAAGCAGGCTAAAGCCAAAGTTTCGCCTCTCCACAGCAGCGACTTCTGTCCCACGAACTGCCACATCAATGTGATGGAGATCTCTTACCCGAAGACCACCACCTCCCTGGGCAGTGCCTTTGGTGTACAACTGGACAGCAGGAAGAACTCTTTGGAGAAGAGCGTTCGCAGCACTGGAGAGAGCGGTGAGGGCAGTGCAAGAAGCTGCAAAACTAAGGCCTTTTACTTCACTATTTATCTAGTTTAGAGGTTTTACTGATGAGATGGGCTTGTGTACAGGTAAGCTAAACCCCATGGTGAATGCCCAGTACACCATCACAACTATGGCTGCACCATCTGGTCACAGCTTGGGTCGGACGGAGGGTCATGGTCTCCGGTTCTTGCTCCGAGAAGACGACCTGCTCACCCTGGATACATATCAGAAACTGCTTTATAAGCTCACTGCCGCTGTCAAAGAGATGGAGACGCATGGTGCCCATATTCATGAGTAAGTAGCTAGAAATGCCTTTTTTTCATATGGTTACTCTGCTGTGCAATAAAACAAGATAATATACTTCATATGATGTAGAAGGATATGGAGATAGCATGGTATGCATTTCCATTTAGCACAATTAACTCTTAGAATCCAATGCAACCAGTTGCCTTCAGAAGGAACTTAAATATTAGAACAAAAAGGACTGCAGACAGGCCGGAGAATATGCTATGGAGGCATTTAAACAGAGCAGTGTTCTAAAACTATTCCAATGCTATGAATATCCCAAAATGGTTTTTAATTCATTATTTGAACAATTGAAGAGTACAACTTCAAAGCTGTCAAGATAAGGCAGACTAGCTAAGCTGGCAGGCTGGAAATGAACAGCAACATTCAGTGAAGGAAACTACAGATCAGCAGATACTGTTTGTCATGTACTTCAGAAGTCTTGCCTTTGTGGACCCTAAAATCAGATGTGATTGCAAAAATTTCCACCTTGAGCCCTCTACTAAAGTCAAACATGATGGGAATGCTTTTTATTACAATATTGCATTACCATACATTAAAATAGTGAATGTTTTGTGATTGTATGATGAGAAAATGTGGAAAAGTCAAATCTAACGATTTTCAGCTAGTACGGGACTGACTGAAAAAGAACATAAGAAGAAATCCGGTTCGACTCCTGAATAGCTCACCACTTGTAATACTACTCATACCTACATAATTCCTAATTAAGAAACCTTCCTAGATGGATGGTCAAAGAAAAAGTCAGGAATTGAGGTGGATGTGCATCATGCATTGCTAAAGCAAGTGAGATGATATAAATGAACCATTTAAAATATTTAAAAACAAGAAATTCTTCTTGTTTTATTCTCCAACCTAGTTATGTCAAAACATTTTCTAGCTTTAGATTAGAGTGTAGATGTTTGTAGTACTTATACTAAATATAACTAATTATTGCTCACTGAACGTTTTAAGTCATAATTAAATAAATCTTTGAAGTGTGTTAAAGTTCAGATGAAATTTTATTAGTTGAGAGAAAAAATCTCCCCCGAGCTTTCAATTGTTTTTTACAGCAGGCCATTGCCATGTTTATTTCTGTTATAAAATATTTTATTGGGCTCGCTGAGTCAGCTTTGGGGGGCGAGGCTTGAGTTATTTAAGGCCATAGAGAGACGCGTGTCATTAAAAATTAAAAACTTACGTTCATCTAACACAAAGAAGAGTTAAGTAACTTCATTTGAACTGTTTTGATCTCATTAATTGTATGAAAAAGAAAAAAAAACTTTTTATATAAACCAGTTTGCTCCATACTACTTGCTTTAACCTAAGCAGCCTTGGTGTTCTGTGACAAAGGTTGAAGAGGAAGCCTATTCGACTTCATTTGGGGGGTTTTCTTTCTTACCACAGCATGTGTTAAAAAGGGATTTTAAACCAGGCATGGGGTGTGTATTTGCTGTACATTCTGCTGTTTGTATTCAACATGTTTCCATGTTTGGTATAGATGCAGAGTTATTTGTTCTGCAGCACCTCCATTGAGCAATGAATCAAATTTCTACAAAGAAAAAGTAAGATGTTATTTAGAGCCAGGTCAACTCTATAAAACAGCATCCCTACTGCATACCTGCTCAGCAGTTTCTACTGCCCCACAGGCAGCTTCCTGATTGTCATGCCTGCTGTGAATCTTCAAATAATCATTTCATTGATTTAGTCATTGATAGTCCTGTCTTAATTTGGTGACTGAGATTAAAAGTTGCCTGATGAAACGAGCTGTCAGCTCACCTTGTAAATGATGAGCAGCGTCCTCAGCGGGGTTTTAATGTCTGAATCAGGATAAATTCTGTCATGCTCCTGTCACTGCCAATTAGAGCGCTGGCATCATCGCATGCTCCGAACAGCCATTAGGAGAAAAAAAAGCAAAGCAATAATGACCTTTACTGTGAGCTGTCTGCTCAACATGCAGGCTACAGAGCAGACGCTTGTTACGGGTAGCAGGGTGTAAGGATAGGCTTTTCACTGCAAGAACTCATTTGGCCTGTTGCTTGTTGCATTGTGGATTCATTGTTTTAACCTCTGCGGGATTGATGAACCTTCCTTAGAACTTCATTAGATTGGTTTGTATATTAGACCGTTGACCAGCAGGCCAAAGACCTTTACTAATACTGAACATGCTCCCGTTCTCCCACACATAAATATTCTTGTTTTTAACTCTCCAGAGGCATTTAGACACACAAACTCGGATTTTATTTTCACTTTCTTAGAGTCCTCCTTTGTTTAGGCTTGATGGGAAAATGAGAAGCTTAAGTGGCTATTTTATGTGTCATGTTGAGCGTATCCTTCCGTTTTAAAGGCCAAGAAAGGAAGTTTGCTGTAGATTCGCAGCAGGGGCATAAATATCCATATAATTTAAGGAAAGATATAACATTGGCTGAGTTTGGTGTTGCATAACTTCTTGGCAGACTTTCGAGGAATCCATTTTTAGGTGGAGATCTGTGACCTTTTGTCTCTGTGCCTCGGGGACGGGGTTACAGCTGCTGGAGGACGTGCTTGGTGATGTGCTTCTTATCAGAACTTCCTCCCTTGCTTTGGTGAATACAAAAACTCATAACCTTACCCTCTTATTTCCATAACTTTGTCTTTAATTTGTTCACCCGAAAGCCCCTCACAGTGATTTAAAGCCACAGAGTTTCTTTGAGGGAAGCCTAAAATATAGATACTATTAAAAATAGATAGATTTACTATTAAAGATGGATTTTAAAGCGGGTGGGTAAATTTAGGAGGACTTCCTGAAACAAGAAGTCATTTAAAAGTCATGCCTACTCAAGATGTTGCCTCCATTCTGTTCGATATTGAAGTCTGACACTTTAGACGCGTAATGAATTCTCTCTTTCATCAAAACGGTCTCTAAAAGAATAATTTAAATAGATTTGATGCTGCTTATTGACAATATAAAAAAGGTTACATTGGCTTGCTGTAGTGTGAACTCTATCGAAACACACACTGGTTTGCGTGGCAGACTTTAAATGAACTCCCAATAACATACTAGAGAAAAACAACAAACAAACAAAAAAAAAACAGTGCATAAAACTTGTAACCCAATAGCAGGTAGTAAACAGCTGGACCAAAGGAATTCTGCTGCTTTGCAGTATAAAGATGGTGATCTACACTAGATTAATAATTTAGCCTACAATTAGCTCTGCTGGCTTCCTTTTCTCTATCTGAGCAAGACAGAGAAAACAATTCACTTCAAAAGTCCTCTAAACATGTTAAAGATTTTTTTAACTACTGAAGAAATATGGAAATATTGTGTTGGGATTCAGGGTAATACCCTTCAGCAGAAACGGCTGATAAGTATTATAAAACTTATTTGACAATCTGTTTCCATCTCCTCTTTAGGGCATGTAATCAAGTCAAAAACTACCACAAAAGAGTATAAAAGCTTATTTCCCCATGATTCAGTCAGTCTATGCGAATTCTGCTCTTTCCATAAAGCTAATCTTCGATCATACTTCAAAATGGGCATAAAAAAACAGTGTGTTGTACAGATTTGAGGGTTGATGCATTGTGGTGTCAGAGGAACCATGCTGGTAAAAAAAATCAGAGCTGGATACTGCTAGGCTTATTTTTTCTTTTTCATCTCAAGTGATCTTTCTTTTTTTTGAGACTTATAGGGGTATTGGGTTTACCAAGCAAAGCTTTTAAATATCTCTGCTAGGTTTCTGAGCCCCTGCTTTTAGATAACAGTTCTCCTGATATTCTCCTTGCAACTAAATTTTGTATTTATCTTCAATATCCTGTTTGCCAATATAGCACTAAAAATTGATGTTCCACTGCCCAAACTGATTTGTCTTTACAAGTAGATTGTGGCTGTTACCATAAATTTACAGTTGTGGCTATTGTTTATTTCCCATCTTTGCTGGATGGGCCCTTGGCTGGTCCTTTGCTGGCCCCTTACAATTCCTTTTCAAACATCAATCTTTGTCCTAAACTATTATTAGGAAGCTTCATCCCCTGGTCAGAACCTGTAGTTCTGACCAGGGGATGAAGATTACCTCGGCAGATGGCCGCTCACACTGAGTCTTGTTCTGCTGGAGGTTTCTTCCTGTTTAAAGGGAGTTTTTCCTCTCCACTGTCGCTACAAGCATGCCTAGTGTGAGGGATTGCATTCGAGTCAATGAGTCGATGCAATCAACTGGTTTTCCATTGATAGAGGACTTTGAATCAATTTGACTGTATGATCTGGTGAACTGTAAAGTGCCTTGAGATGACATGTGTTGTGAATTGGTGCTATATAACTAAACTGCATTGAATTGAATTAGTTCAGTGAAAGGTTGGAGTCAGAGTAAAAAAATATGCAAGAGGGGGTCACTCCAATGGCTGAAAGTTGGAGGGGATTTTGTTGGGAGTTGTAGGGAAGTGGGCTGCCATCTGGCTGGCATTTGACTTGGAAGGGACATTTTGAATGGCTGCTACTGCATGTATGAAACTGTAATTTAAGCTACAGACTTGGGTGTTAATAATTTTTGTTTTGGATGGTCGTTTTAATGCATTGATATTAAAGTGAATTTTCTGTATATGTAACATCTTTACTCTTCAGCTGTAACTTTAGGCTGCATTTCCTGCCTGCCTTCCGTTTATAAATGTATGCAAGAGTCGATGCAAGAGTACCTAAATATAAATAATCTGATGCATCCCTGAATGTCATATATTTATTTTTCTTATTTTGATTTTAAATTTAAGAAATACATATGAAAAAAATCTCAGTTTTGACTAATACATAATACTTGCAAAAAAATAAATTTGTGTTTCATCTCTGTGAAATCATCAAGAAAACATTATTTTTTTCTACTTCCTGGAATATATATAAACAAAAATTGCATGACATAGATATTTTCACTAAGTTATATTATTTATTGATGGTTTTCATCATTAATGACAGACTTTAGGGTATATTTATTATACTTATCTGTCTTGTAGCTAAATGTGCCAAAGTAAGTTAAAGAACTTCCAGTAAGAGATTTGATGCAATAAGCCGCACGTTTGCTAACTTCATTCTCTCTGTTATAGTTTACCAGCTTTTTAAACCCGAGGCCACCATCACTGATCCATTTGTTGTTATTCTGCCACATTGCTTCCAAGTACATGCTCCACAGGCCGCGTACTGGCTTTAGTTCTTTAGTAATGAGCAGCCATTCACAGATCTAGGAGGGCCTCTCTATGGTGATGGAATGCCACTTTCCTTTTTAGGGGTATTGTGGTAAATCCTGGACTGAACCGTAATGAGGGCATCATCGCTGCCTTGTCGGCATACAAATGAATGGAAAGCAGGTCAGTGGGGGAGAGAGAAAGAGGGTAGAGTTGAGGAGATGGGAAGTTGAGCCTTGTTTGGCGGGTGTTAGGAAGCTATGTTCACTTTGATGAAGAACAGGCTATTGCGTCCCTTCTTTCACTTTGAAATGTCTCACAGGCCGATGGAATTACGCAATGGAAAATTTAAGCGAGCTTAAACTAAAACGAGTTTGAAATATAAACAGACATTGCGTGTCTGAATAAATGTGTGTGGGGGGAGATCAAAAAAGTACAAGACTAGCATTTATTGGGATATGGCTTTAAACGCCACCATGTGTTGTTGCAACTGTGAAAATATCCTCTCCGTCCCCTTCCTGCCCCTCTGATAGACATCTAACAGAACAGAATAAGAGTCAGTGGTAGTGGAGGCAAGGGAAGTGATATTTGCAGCGCCGTCACAGCCTGTTGATACAGCTGCACCTTACGAGATATTTGAGTCTCCGAATAGGACTGAGACTACTGAACATGTGATGTTTTTGTGCCAATGCCAAATTGAAACAGGGCTGGGTTTTGTTTGGCCACCACTGTAAGTTATTGGAGCCCATCCTTTGTGTGGGTTCTTCTGCATACTGTACATACTGTACTGCATCACCGGAAACATGTTGGCCTATTGTATGTGTTTTATTGTTTTAATCCTTCTATATTGATTGTGTTTTGCATAATTTGTCTTTTCTTTTTCTTATTTTCTAATCCATCCATCTATTCCTCTGCTTGCATCAGCCTGCTATCCTCCATCACATACCCTGCAGCGTCAGAGATGAGGCACCCAGAGAGCTACATATCCGCAGAGAGTGAAGGGGAGAAAGTGGAGAGGAATGGGAAGAAGGTGTGTTTTAATGTGACAGGAGACGAGCAGGAGGACTCTGGACATGACACTATCAGCAACAGAGACTCATACAGGTAAAACTAAAGTCACAAACCAAAGAGGGCTCTAAGTAACTTGTTCCCACACATATAATATATATTCAGCATTATTGATACTAAAACCCTAATGTTTTAAACATTTATTTGCAGCTATGCGTTTGGTAAATTTGTTTAAATCTGTATATTTTAAGCAACATTGACTAAAATCCATTTATATTCAACTATGTAAAATTAAAGAGGCTTTATAGTTTTCTCAGAAAGCTGCCACCTGTGGCCAAAACACAGAACTGCAGCACCCTCCTGTCCATTCTTGTAGCTCGCGCTGTTACTTAGCAAGGTTGATGTCACCTTAACATGGGCGCACTTGACGTCATATCCGGAGAACAGCATTGGGACTTCCGACTTTAAGTACATTCAGAACAAATAGGCCGCAGGCTAAAACATGCATTGGGGCTGAACTACCAAGGTGTCAGTTTGCTCATCAAACGATGATTTATTCATAAAAGGACAAATAAAAAAACTCCCAAAAAATGTCTCTTTATATTAAGATAATATGAGTAAAAATTAATTAGAGTAAGCAAAACTACTGGAGGAAATCTGAGATGAGTTAGATTAATCTAAACTAAGGTGAGGCTAATTAGATTCTGTTCAACTAGTTAAGCTGACTTTAGCTATGTTAAACTTTGCTAATCTAATGCGTTAACCTAAATTTATTAAGTTTGAGTTTGGTTAAGCTAAGATAACAAATTATGTTTTTAAATGAAGTTTAGCCAAACTGAGCAAGGCAATTTATTTTTATGCAACTTGGGTTGATGTGAGATGAAAACTAAGGTAAAGCTAAATTGCTTTAAGCTTAACTTAATTAAGCTAAAAATGACAGAACAGTTTAACATTTTTTGAGAAAAGTTATTCTGATATGAAATCATGACAAAAAAACTTGTATACCTTTTAACTGTGTTATAAATAAATCATAGTAAACTAAGCAATGATAAATTGTAGGATTGTCTGATTCTGTGTTGGCCTTTCCACAAAATAAAAATCTTGAACAGATATGTAAAGCTGGATCAAAAGAAAAAAAACAAGAAATGATGGAGAAACTAAAAAAATAGTACGACAAAACCTAAAAAAAATTATATCTTAGTTGAATTGTGAAATTTAAACAATAAAAATCTAACTTTTGAACAGGCACTCTATTTTCCCCCATATTAACACAGACTCTTCAGCAAACAGCATACACCCCGCTGAAAAGATACATAGTGGCAAACCAAATCTTATTATATTCTGAACAATGACAATGAAGCATCTTCTAAAAATCAGATTAACTGATATAAGCTCAGTTTATGTCTGTCCTAACCAAATTAAGCAGTTTTTTTTTTTATTAGACTCCATGTTGAACAATTTCAATAATAATTCCTGTTAAACTGTGTTCTGACTTTTCCTCAGTGACTGTAACAGCAACAGGAACTCCATTGCCTCCTTCAGCAGCCTCTGCAGCAGTCACTGCAGCTCCTACGCTCACAGTGATGACATGGACTCAGGTGCACAAATACAGAAGATTAATTGCACTCCCACAGGAGGGCGTAAAAAAGAGTTTATTTGCAACAGCTTGATTGGTAGCTAGTATTAGAATGTTGATAGATCTAAATTGCTCTTTCTTTTGTTCAGAAAAATAAGTGACAAAAAAGTACATTTCATTTACTTTATAGTAAAATAGTATTAATAAAGTTAAGGGGCTGATGCGATCCACATGGGAAGTTACATTTGCATTTTTGCAGGAGATGAGATGCCATCTAGTGTGTGGCTGTCCCATGACAAGGAAAGGAAACTACATGGCTTCTTAGAGCATCTGTTCAGCCAGGTGAGTCGAGTAAACATTGTAAAATGTGAAATCATCTGCAATCCTATTCCTACAGAAGAATTTTATTGCAGCCTAAAATATTTTCCTATTATCCTGCTGGTTGAAGGGAAGAACATTTCTGTGATGAATGTTTATCTTTTTATAAAGGGCAACTGTTTATTGAAACATTCGTTATTTTTGTAGCCCCAAGTAGGGAAGGTAGGACTAACTTGATATTTGCTGTAATTTGAACAACGATGGTCCATGAAGGTATTTACATCAGTAGTGAAATGAGAAAACAGAACAAGGCGTTGCTGCAAATTGTTGCTGCTTTCTCTTATTTGTTGTGAATTAGGCATTGTCCGCAGCTCTGTTTACACCTGCATCACAATCTGTTGGGGGGAGTGAAGGGCGGGTGTTAGTTATGCGTAGGCAGCTTTTTTGTTTTGTTTTGTTTTGTTTTTTGCTTTCCAGCACTAACTTTCCAATCTTGCCACAGTGGGAGACTATATCAAGTGTGCTATGTTTGACCTGTGTCCTTTCTTCAGGTGGACTCAATCACCAGCTTGCTGAGAGGAGCGGGGGTGGCTCGGGCTTTTGAGCAGACAAAATGCTTCACACCTGCAAGAGGACTACAAGGTAATATGATAAAAGTATTCAAACACTGTGTTACTTTACTTCTCCAGCTATGACTGGGACATCTGTTGACCTTTGAACTCTTCAATGTGGCATTTGCAGCACAATTTTTTTCTGGCAGTTGCTAAAATTTCAACTGCTCCTCCTGGGAGACTTATCCCCTGGTGTGGGCCTGAGTGGAGGGGATTCTAAAAGCCTCTCAGGGCCAGTATTGACCTAAAAGAAAGCATCGGTCTGCTATTTCCTCTTGGATCCTCAGATGTAGCTAAACACATGGAAAGAAGTGCTGTAGATGGATTCCAGACAATCAGATATAAATACTTATCCATTGCATTTCTACTCTATTATTTTGTTTTGAGTAGAAATACTGCACATTCATCACAAAGTAATTATATCTGCTGAAGTTTTTTTTTTTTTTTTTTTACATGTTATTACATTACAGTTTTACTTGTGCAATCTGTGATTTTAATTGGGTAGTCACATCTTGGCAAGTTAGTTATTGTGTCCTAATTGGATGATGGATTGATCTGTGAGATTTTCATAGCTGGGATTTTGTTTTGTAACTTTTCTTCAAGGTTCTCCACAACCTTATAACTGACCTGTCTGCTGTGTTTCATGGTCTTTGTTGACTAATATGAGTCTGATGAGAATGATACTATTTGCTTCATGTTTTATATACAGAAAGCAGAGAAAAATGGTTGTACAAATATAAATTTGTGGAAGGAAATGTGGAAGAAAAGGGCTAAATTTACCCTTATCGTTTCCTTCTGCCAATACAAACTAGCTGACAGCGTTCTTTCATCAACTGAGGAACTTTCTTCAGATGGCTCGACCCAGTTCTCAGATAAGAAACCAAAAGAAAGTGTGTGTGTGTGTGTGTGTGTGTGTGTGTGTGTGTGTGTGTGGTGTAAGCATCCTTCTCAGAGAGTCATTTATCTTCAAAAAGGAACAAAAGTCTGTCTTGTCTTGCGCTTGACTCCATCCCACCAGGCTAAATTCCCTACATAACAAAGTCTCTGTGTCCTCCAGCAGCTTTAATGCACAGCGGTGAGTACTTTATGCAAAACAGCAAACTACCCCGCTATTTTGTATGTTTTGGATAATTCAAGCCTCCAGACACCTTGGCCCATTTGGCACACCGTCTTCCTCCTCATCTCCATCTCTCTTCAAGCGAGTGCAGATATGCTTGAACTGAAAATAGAGCTGCTTCAGGAGGCATGTCAGAGCTTTAACATCGCTGATCCGTCCCAACGTCAGTAATGTGTGATTGATAATAAAACAAGTATGGTTATCTAACAAGTGAAGCATTCCTGCATTTGATTGCACATGCATATTTTCACTTTGACAGACCCATTATTGTTAGATCTTATTTTCTGTCACTCAAACTCTTGCAGGTCTTTTCAGATCCTTTAAAATTATGTGCATGTGATTAGCAGTGTAGTTTTTGACAGCCACCTTAGATTTAGTCTTAGTCTTCAGGACGAAAACTATTATTAGTCTTAGTCGCATTTTAGTCATTACTATATGTGTTAGTTTTATTTTAGTCTACTAAAACTTTAAAATGTTTCAGTCTAGTGTTAGTCAGTTTTATTGTCTAAAAAAAGTTTAACTTTAAAATTTCGAAGAAACCAGACTCTTTACTAGACTGACAGCTCTTGCCTAGATACTACAATTGCTGGGTATAGAATGCTACAGTTCATTATTGCTTTTGGGCAGAAAACCTTGATTTGTAGAATTTGAATAAGCATTTTTATGAATTAATGCCCTTTTTTTTATATAAAAAGCTGTGAAAATAGCAGCTCTAGTTCAACACATCACCATAGAACCTACATAATTGCCTTGTAATGCCATGGCAATCCAGGCCTAAATTGAATGAATATGCTAACTAAAATGTTTAAATATTTAAAGGAAACATAGAAAATGTTTTAATGACAATACAAGGAAACATTTACATCATATTTAAATAGATAGAAATAACAATAAGAAAGAAATATTCAAAAATCTACAGTATGTACCTTTTCATCTGGGTCTTTATCCAAAAATAAACAGAGTGCAATGAAATATTTTCTTTGGATATAATTTAGGGATTCCTTTCGGTAAAAATTAAAGAAACTATGTTTAGTTTATTAAGTAGCGGGAGCAGGAAGAGACATAGTGCTGAGAGCGAACCATCAGAGAGGAGCGTGAAGCGCAGACTCGGAGCTACACGCGTGCAAAGATGCACAAGCTAGAAGATCTGTCTGAGTTTGTCTGAGTGCAGTACCGGACCATTCCGGTTATTTTCTTCCCTGCTGCTGCTACCATGATCAATCTGTGGTCATGCAGAATGTGTGGCTCGTTTTTTGGACATTACGCTGACAGGAAAGGGGGAGAGACATGTGGCAAAGGACCACAGGTCGGATTCCAACCACGTCGAGGACTAAGGCCTCCTACATGGGTCGTGTGCGCTAACCACTGCGCCACCAAATTACGCCCTAAAACTATGCATTTTAAATGTCTGACAGCTAAATTTTATTTAGTCTCGGTTATGAAAAGAGTCATCAAAGATCCATGTTTAGCTCGTCAGTTTTCGTTATTGTCATAACAAAAAAGGAGTGTCAATGAAATAGTTTTGTCATCGTTGAAGAAAACAACACTGGTGATTAAAGATTTTTCCACTTATATATTTAGAATAGTCGTGACAGAAGGAAACTTTGAAGGGCTTATTTTTGTCACTCACAGCAGCCTTAGCATGGGGATCCCTTTATGGTGGTGGGTCAATCAGAAGCTGAACCAATGGATCAAAGGCCGAAGGGTTCACAGTTCAAAGCTGCGGCTCAGAACCAGTGTGGTATGGCTCGGCAGCTGATAGCGGCTCTTCGGAGAACAGCAATTGGGCCTGGCTGTACAGTGGGTAGACTACAACTGGAGAGTTTCTCATCTCCTTCAGCAGGCGGGTTCACAAAACACTTCTTACATCTTCGACATTTGATCCTCGTCATTGCAGGATTTTATTGTTTGCAACTTTTTTGTGTTTGTTTGTTTTGGAGTTTGCATCAGACTTGTGTTTGCAGCTCTTTTGGCGGTTAACTGCGTGCTTTCACTTGTCCGCCACCTAACAAGACATATAGAAGAGATGTCCAACCTGTGGAAGAAGTAGCCCTCTGGTCAGATGCCCAAAATGCAGCTTAGCCTATGACCAAAACACTAAAGTGGACAATCATGACAGCAAATCAACAAATCAGTTGTGATACTAGTATTTAGTAGTATTGCCTTCTGAGGGACAGTTATTATTGCAAGTGGCGTCTGCTGGAACACATTGTCTTTCAATCCAAGGGTTGTTGGTTCAAGACCTGTTTTAGCCTTCCTTTGCTACCAAGGTGACCAATTTGCATTGGTTTGCCCTTTTACCAATATAGACTGGGTAAAAACACTGCCTAATTAGATTGGTTGGTTTAATCAAAAGATTGGTTGGACACATAATAATAATATATTTTATTTAACAGTGCCTTTCTAGACACTGTAGGTCTCTTTACAGAAAATAAAAACGAAAATACAAATACAGAAACATAAAGGCAATTATAGGCAGGGACAAGAGCAAAGTATTCACAAATAAGCGAGCTGGAACAGATGGGTTTTGAGTCTGGTTTTGAATAAGTAGAGAGAGTCAATACTGCGGAGGTCAGGAGGGAGTGAGTGCCAGTGCTGGGGAGCAGAGCCGCTGAAGGCCCTGCTCCCCATGGTGACAAGTCGAGCTGGGGGTACAGTGAGGTGGATGGAGCAGGAGGATCTAAGGGAGCGGGAGGAGGTGGCAATGTGAAGGAGGTCAGACAGATATGGAGGAGCAAGGTTATGGATGGCTTTGAATGTATAAAGATGGATTTGAAATTTTATTCTAAATTGGACTGGGAGCCAATGGAGTTGCTGAAGGACAGGGGTAATATGATGAATAGAAGGGGTTCTGATAATAACATAACTTCCAACCCGATTAAAACCAAAAATTGTGATAGATTTTTCTATATTTGAATAAAAATTGCTATACTTTTCACCCTTCCTGGCTGATTAAAGGATAATGTAATCAGTTCATACAGGTGTGCTGCGGCAGAGATCCATCTAAAACATACAGGACAATGAGACTTAAGGGGCGATTTTGAAAACCACTGGTTTAGATCAAAGTGGCCCAGTAATAGTACCAATATATAAGAAAAAAATATATTCACAAAAGCTCCTCTTAAGCTCTTCATTGCTGAATGAAGAAACTTTTGTAGCATTTGTTTTTCGCTTTGGGTTTAGTCTGACAAAAGTTTGTATTTTGACTTGCTTTTCCTGAAGCTTTTGTGTCTTTTTAAAATTTCCCTTAGACCTGATAAACACTGAATAATCCACATCGAGTTTGGTCCATGTAATTAATCATGTGCATCATCCAACAGAGTTTCTGCAGGAGATGGAGCCTGGGGTAAACTGTGCCAAAAAGCTGCGCCTCCACATCAAGCAGGATCCATGGAACCTTCCCAACAGTGTTCAAAGTCTCACACAAACCATTTCTAAATATGTAGAAGGTAAGTGTCCACCTGAAAAGCTGTAAGCACCAAGACAATTATAAATCTACATGGTTTTAGCACTGTAGCTTATCAAATTTAGGCCTTATCTTCAAAGTTTTCAAGTAAGGGCTGCTAAGTTGCAATTGTCTTTTTTTGTACACACAAAAATTGGGCTTGTTATGAATGATCTGCATATAAAGTTTGCTGTGTGAATATTAAGATTTACAAACCAGTTTGGTTCCATCTGTTAAAGTTGCGTTTTCTAAAAGGCAGTTAAAGAGCGGCCATGAAGGAAAGATGAGGTTCAAAGCCATGGAGGTGGATTTATAGTAGTATTAGAAAAAAAATTAATAATGATAATGTAAAATACTATTTATAGTGCACCTCGTAGCCTGTCTCAAAGTGCTAAAAACTAAAATAAAAAATAAAACTAAATCAAACCACTCTTTTTGCACTGTTATGTTTTATCAAATCGAGGGAATAAGAATTTCTTGTTACAATAAATAAGAGCTGCACATTTATGCCACTTTTTTCTTTTCATATTCCTATACTGTTGTTACTTTTGGCAGTCGATATATGTTTACATGTGACCAGGATCACTCTCCGTCCTCTGGCATTGTACCAATGACACTGCAAAAAATAAAAAACTTAGTAAGTCAATTTTTCTCACAATAAGTGCAGGTAAGTGAGAAACTCTGAATAAGACAGTTATGAAAATGAGAAAAAAAAAATCAAAGTTCAGTCTCTTGTTTCAAGTGCATATTATCTAATTATCATATTTTAAGCGTAAAAACACTCTGTCTTTAGGCAGATTATTTTACTTTCCTACTCAAATTAAGGGTAGATACACTTATTTCAAGAAATGTATACACATTTCTAAATTATTGTTGCAGTGACAGATTTTTTTTACATTTCAGTTTGCACCTGAACTTTCATAAGTACTTAAAAAGACACTGAAACTGCTACTGTACCACAGTTAAGTTATACATTTAAGAAAATCAATTTGCAAGTGGTAAATGTTTACATTTGATATCCTCTATCCATGACTTTGGTCATTAGAATATAATCTGTATATTGATGAAGGCATACTTTGAGAAAAAAGGCTGCAAATGCTATTTGCTGAATTGCAAACATGAATCACTCTGCACATTCCCCAAACGTTTGTTCTACACTTACAAACACGTTTGCACCTATTTTAAGAGGCATAAACCCTGTGAAGATCAGTTCCTTGGTTTCAAAAAGAAATGAACCAACAGACCTGGCTTTAAATTTCATGTACTTCAATGCTGTTAACAGACTGTTTCATCAAGAGCTGCTCTGCTCACTTTAAAATGTAAACCTATACCCATCCTGGGACTCATAAACTGGATCCATTAAGCTGGAATTAAAAGATAGCTGAGAATTGTGTGAGATTCTTTAATTTTTGCCTAAAAAGAGAGTATTTATTGCCAGCAGGAGGGTTTTGTTTTTGTTGACTTGCTGACTGACTGCACACACAGGCACAATACCAAGCACTAACAGCCTGCCACTCGACACTCCTGGGAAGGGTGAGTGGGTCGCCACAACTGAGAAAACACAAACAGAGTTATTATTAATACATCTCACAAGGCTGGCATTTTCAACAGCGTGGCCTCCTGTTTTATAACCTGGAGTCATTACTGTAAACAAATATGGATCCATGCTGTTATCTTTGTTTCTGCAAGTTGTTTTCTTCTGGCCCTCCACATGTAAAATAAACAGGTGTTAATCTGGAACTGTGTTTTTCTGCATTAATTCATAGGGTCAAGGGGATCTAGACTAGTGGGCCTTTGAACTTTGCTCATACTGTTGAAGCTGTACACACTTTTCATGTTAGCCATTTAATTGCCTTTAAGTTCCCACTGATATGCTTTTATCCTGTTTTCAGAGGTGAAGACGCGACTGCTTCTGGTTCTGCTGCAGTATACAGGTCTGTACCACTGTCTTTGGGAAGGATGAAATTTTTGCTGCGTATTAACACAGAAATTAATTTTTCCATTGAATACAAACAGAATAGTAAAGTAGATGTATGTAATAAGTTGAAATGTTTACTTTTGGTATTTAGTTCAGTTGATAGTATATCTCTTGTATGAGTAGATTAATCCTTGAAGATATATATAGGATTGAGCTTCTCATCGACACTATGCAGCTCTGCAAAAACAAGGTTGAATTTGCTGGATAGCATCAAATGTCCACTGTTAAGCTTGGTGTAAAATGTGTGATGCTTTGGACCCCCTTTCTGAACAACCAGGACAGTTTAACCAAAAATCTTGCAGGCTCAGCCCAAAATACTAAAAATATGTGATAATTTGATCATTTTGCTAAACATTGATCCAAAACGTAAGGACACATTGACACAGTTGTGTCTGGTCTGTAAAAAGGGGTTCTAAAATGTACAGACAGTTGGCCTATATGTTCAAGCTAGGATTTATTTATTTATGTACTTTGATTATGTGGTTATGCTGCAGGGAGTTTTTTAAAGTCAATACCAATAGATATTGATCATGCTGCACTGTAGATTGTTTTATTATGTGTCTGTTTGTTTGTTTAAATCTAGCATAGTTATAATACTGATATTAATTATGAAGTACTGTAGCAGTGAAAATAAATTATACATTTTGATCCATCTGTGACTAAGGTTAATAAGACTTTGTATATGTCAGTACTGGGCAAAAAACAAGAGCAAAAAAAGCCTTAATGTGAACAAAGTAAAAACACATTACTTGGAATAAATAAGAATGTCTTTGATGTCTTTGTAAGGTTTTGGATATTGTATCAAAATTGTGAGACAGTTACTATAAGGCTTTTTTTTTTCTTAAAAAGATAACTGAATTGATATATTTGTGTTTTTTTTTTCATTGATAGTAGCCAATGCATTTACTGATTCAGTGCATACAGTACCTAAAGCTTTCTATAGATCTGTGTTTTATGCTGCAATGAAGAATGTCAGACACTGATAAGATTTATGCATTACCTTCTACTTACCTCTCATTAAGCAGACTGCAAGCGCTAAAAAATGTAGCATTTAATTAATTTTCTCACTATTTAACTTAAGAAAATGCAATAAAGCATCCAAACAGTCTTAGAAACCTTTGCTAAAAAAGTATAAAATCATTTCTCAGACATAAAACTACTAGTTATTTTTGCTTTATTTAGTCTTAGACAGTGTGTATCTCCCTGGATATAATGCAGGTCATTGATTTCACCTTTTTCAAGATAATTTCTAGTAAAATGTTTATGCTTGGTAACATCAAACTATTTAAGATGGTCTAAAGCATCCTTATTTGTAATTTCCTATTAGTGATTTTTTCATCTTAGTTCTGTTTTCAGTTCACCTCTCCCTGCCTACAGCTCAGTCCTTTTTTTCCTTTTATAATGTATTTTCCTTTACTGTCTCCCATTTCTGTAGATTCAGAGATCCAGCTGCGTCGTGATATGGTGCTCTCTCAGTCTTTGGTTGCTGCGGTTTGTGCTTTCTCAGAGCACCTGCTGGCTGTCCTGAACCAGGTCTGTTATACTGAAAATAAATCTTTCAGTATTAAGACAAGTTTTACTCATGTTGCCCTGAGTAACTGAATTATTTATGGCCTCATTTTTTATTATTTTTTTTGCCAGTTCAACAATGTAGGAATAGAACTGGACCAGGACTTTCCAGATCCTCAGGAGCTCCAGGAAACGCAGGAGGCCAGCCGTCGGTGGCTGGAGCAGATAGCCAGCGCTGGCCTGCTGCTTCACTTCCAGTCGCTCCTGTCTCCCAATCTGGTAAGCTGTCGTTAACAGCAGCTAAGGAGTCCGATTGTATAGATATAATGATTTATGTTATCTGCCAGCAACAATAAGGTCTATGTATCACATTCAAGTTCATATATCCTCTCTATGCCTCATGCAACACCTCATAAAACTAGATTGCATGAATTATTTCACACCTAATCAGTTGATTTTTTTTTTTTGTTAGGCTTCCTTGATACTCATTAAGCGTTTAACAGAATTTCTGTTTACTTTCTGAAAAACAATTGTTGGTGCCTAGCGATATATAGAAACTAAAAAAGATAATTTATATTTAATTGCTAAACAGTTTTCCCTGTCTAGAATTAAATCTACAAGCAACAAAGAAAAAAAAAAACACCAGAAAAGAAACTAATAATAAATGCACTTAATGTCCTGATTTAAATCTTAGTAAGCCTTACACCTACCTGCAGGATTTCTTAGGCATTGATCATAAGAATGTAAACAATGAGATCTCCAACCTCTATTAGATGTCTCTGCTCCAGCACACCTTAGTCAAACTATGAGCCATTATCAGGAGTCTGCATACTTCTGCTGTATTCTGAGCAGTTTTAAGCTCCCTTTCTAACCTTTTGGTTTTAGATCATGTGAATTTTAAACGTTGAAAGAAAAATGCACACCAATATGAAGTGACCAGTAAATGGATTTTCCAACGCATCACTTGGTAGCTGGATACGCTTTCTGATGTGCTTCTTGTTTTGTGAAATAGTCCTGTAGAAGCAAAAGGGCCTTAATCCTTCACTGCCGACATGTACAGCTCTCTGTATGGGGTCAACGGGGACAGGAAGAAACAGAAAGGAGGGTGAAAGAGACTTTTAATTAGGAAAACAAGAGGGCCTGCTGCCGTGACCAGAAGCAGATGTGTGCTTGTTTTTGCCTGATGAGCGGACACTAAAGAGGAAGCTCGTAGTCCCCTTCATTTGGAGATGTAAACAAATGCAAACAAGCCAAAACAAACATGGGACAGAAAAAAATATCTGTAAACAGCTATTTCTACCCTAAAGCCTTTACAAATTTTTGATAGTTGCTAATTAAGCCAGACGTTCTTAAAATCTTTAACTTCTGCTTAATTCACTGTATCAGGAAATCTTTCGGACCTTTTCTTTTTTTTATAGAATTTTCCTGCTTTTAAAAGTTGGCTTTACTCAGCCCTTATATCAGAGCCATAATGAGGCTCTAGTGCTTTCATTCTGGAAAAAAAGAGATTTAGAGATGAAATAAGGTTGGGCAATATGTAACAATTTTCAAACAAATATTCGTCAATCCAACAAATGGCAATGGACGATATATTTCCTAGCGTATCTTTTGCACCGCTGTAATATTGTTAAACACCTGCGCTCGCTGCTAAAACCCAATAGATTTTTTAAATTCATTATTTTTTTGTTTATCTGAATGTGCAAAATCAAGCAGACTAAAAGATTGTTTTTTTGCTGTTAGTTTTCTTCGATAGAAAGCGCACATCTTCACTGCAGGACAGATTTTTCCTTTTCTGTTTTTTTTTTTTTTTTTTGTTCTTTAATTTAGTATTTTTGTGTTAGAATCAAATCCATAACAGATGGAGCAGTTTGTAAACATACACACACTAAAAAACAGCTCGTCTGGTTTGGTTTGGCTCTTTCTGTCTCAAGTTTAAGTAGATAAAATCGCTGCTGCACGGTGGAACTGGGGGCTGTGTCTTAACCTGTACGTCCCAAAAAAGAAACAAAAATAGCTCTTAAAAATAAATCTTTGAAGGGCTGAGTCTATTGCCGATGGTCGATAGATTTATCCAATCGACCAACCTTAATATGAAACTGATATTTACAGACCATGTTTTTGAAGAACGTTCTATTGCATTTGCCAGATGATACTTTAGGCTTGATAAGGGACTCCTGTAAAAGAATAATTCAGTTGTAAAAATGTCTTCCTCTTCAGACTGATGAACAGGCCATGCTGGAGGACACTCAGGTGGCATTGATTGATCTGGAGAAGGTCACCTTCTACTTCCAACAATTTGAGGGCGAACCAATGGTTGCAAGTATGCAGCATTTTAACATACTACAGACAAGCATTTTTATATATATATATATATATATATATATATATATATATATATATATATATATATATATATATATATATATATATATATATTAAAGCTTGTTATGTCTTTAGAGGATACATGTAGTGTTTGCTGTTCTTATTAACCCCTAACGTTTCTTTTTTTTGTGCCTTCTCTCAGATATGCCCATCTCCTACCAGGTGGAAGGCACTCGGCAGGCCCTGAAGGTCTATTTCTACCTGGAGAGTTACTACTTCACACATTTGCCTTACAGGCTAAAAAATGGAGGCGGTGTTAAAATCTACCCTGTCCTCTTTACACAAGGTAGAGTAAAAGGATTCTGATTTAGGAAAAGACCAAAGGCTGTTTGACAGAATATCAGAAACGGTGAATAACGCTGTGTTTTTCTGTTTAGCCCTGGAGAGCATGGAGGGATATTACTACAGAGACAATGTGTCAGTGGAGGAATATCAGGCCCAAATTAATGCTGCCTCTTTAGAGAAGGTCAAGCAGTACAACAAGAGACTCGGGTAAAGTATAACAGACACACACTGATAGTTATTGCTCCTCTCCTGTTGCCTGATGAAGCTGAGTTTTTCAAATGGGGTATAAATCAAGATGTCCTTCCTTTTCGGTGGGGTTGACTGTCAGAACTCAGCAGCAGCTGCACCTAAAGGTGATTGGCTGAGAGGAGCACAGCTGGGCATGTCTTGCAATTGGCCGTAAACATACACCCAGCAGGGGCGGCAGTAGCTGGATGAGAAGGCACAGCATGCCACCAGGTTTGGTGCAGAGTCTCTGTGCAGCTGTTGTACTCAGTCACTTTACACCCCACTGCTCCTCCGCACACTGCAGACTCCCCGTGATTGGCCAGGTGGGATAAAAAAAAAATAAAAAAAAGACATGGGAGGAGGAACTTTAATTTGTTTAACTTCCTGGGCTGTATGAGGTGGGGGGGTTCACTCTGAGGCAGAGAGACAAATGTCAGGGAGCTATCTCAGTTTCATCAAATGTGACTTTCTTTTTAAGCTGACTTCCCTTAATGAGGAGCTGAGAGGGGGACCAGTGGTCTCCAGTTTAACATTTACTGCAGCTTTTTCGGGTAATTAAAATGAAAAGCACAGTCCCACTTATAACAGGGCACATCATTGCAGTCTCTTTTGTTTTTTAAGATTTATAGTTAGGGCAGCTGCTGTGTAATCAGTGCCATCTCAGCATAGATTAATATGGATTCATTAGAATTTATTTTCGTTAAAATTAATAGCTTATTTGTTATGGTTAAGATAGATAACTGGATTTCCCAGAGCATACTTGTTAAAAGCAAAACAAATCTTGCATATTGAATTATATTTTTGTGCAACAATACTATATACCAGCTTTTTTAAATCATTTTCTTCTATCGTTAGTTTTATGGGACTTTACATTTTACAGCTTTTTCAGACCACACATGTTGATCTAGTATCAGAAATCATTGTATATTATTCTGCTGGGTAAAACTGGGTTTTAATTCTTTAAAAACAAGAAAAAATGATTGTGGAGTTAACATTCTAAGGCATTTAAAGCCTCCTATATAAGGAAATATAATAGTTAGTGGTACTAACTGTTAATTAGTCTTCTGTGTTCATTTCATTCTTTCTACAAGTCCCCAGTTGCTTCACAAAACCAGAAAGCTACCTGCTATAAACATGAATACATATTTACACATGAATAAGTACCTATAGAGGCAAACATATATAGTAGATCCATTCATGTGTGCTGGCATGTGCAATCCCGAAATGCCATGGCTTGTTTATCATTTAACAATCTAGCAGTGCTCTGTTTAAACATATAAAACATATTCAAACTTTTAAAAGTAAGATTTCATTTATTTGTAAAGTCCAGATGTTGTTGCAAATCTTATGTGGGAAATCTAACAGGCTTTTAATACTCTTCCCTCATTTGACCGTGATGCAGACTGGTGCACCAGGATGCAGATTCAGAGGGAGGGATCAGTAACAATCAGCAAAGTCCGTCATTTAATGCTGCCGACATGTTCCCAATGTAATTCGACTTTTAATTTCACGTTACAAATGATGTTCAATTTATGATGTTGCATCTGCATGTTTATCTAAGTTTAAAAAGCAATTTCTATTGCTGAAGAAATACATTTTAATTTCGGATCTAACTAAAACTGCTATGTTTTTTTTTTTTCAAATGCTATTAACTCATGGAACAAAATTAAAGTAAGTTTAAAAGTAAAATTTGACACACTTAAAGTTTAATCCATTTTGTATAATTTAATAGTTTGTTTACAGTAGTTTGGCTAGTCTCTTGGCTTTGAAGCCTGACCTGGGATCTCTAGCCCCACCAAGTAGGAAGTCACTATTGTCCACAGTGTAAAACTTAAGGTAAATCCACTACCTAGATTTAAGCTTTGACCAATAGGGTGGCATTTTAGCTAGTATTATCAATATTGAATGATAAACAAAAAAAATACAAACCAACTTTGCATAATTTCAGCTGATGGAGTAAACCAAGACTACAGGCCACCTGAGGTGGTGCAACATTACACAGATACGAAGTGGCAAGAGCAAACTGACCAACTCTCTGTTATAGAACACCTCCTTTCTGTTCTGAGACTTCCACTAGGAGCACTTTATTTAAATACGTAGTGTTGTCCAGACAACTTGGTAGCACTAAGCTTGGTGCTTTATTTGCATTGTTGGTCTCCCCTCATCCATCCATTTTCCGCCACGCTTATCCCAAGTGGGGTTGCGAGGGGTGCTTTTGCTTATCTCCAGGCATCTACTCTTCATGTTAAGTTTTTTTTGTGTGTTTTTTTTTTATATTTGTACTTCAGGTCAACACCAAACTCTATCCTGGTGATAAATCCAATAAATAGCTGGAATCTGTCTTTAGTTTGTGATTTAGTGTCTATATTGCTAGTTCCTGTATAAATTCACCTGCAATGACAAAAGAAATAAAATAAATTGACAGCCAGGGCTCCAGCAGTAAAACTGAGTAGATGATTCTAACCAGACCTAGGAGAGTGTAGTGGGGAGCCTAAAGGGTGCCACTGTAGGTAAAGAGGCACACTGGCTGTTTCCCACAGCGCTGCTGGTTTCAGCTAAATGTGCTGCAGCATAGAGTTGTTTAGGTCCTCTCTGCTCCCCCGTCTCGTTCACTATTTGCAAAGGATGTTATAGTAGGGCGGGTGTTTATCGAGGCAGCAAAAGAACTGATTTCCTGTCCTCCTTAGGATTGACTTCCTTAATGCATCAGTCAGTCATGTATTAATTTACAAAAATAACAAACAGAATAACAAATATCCGGGGCGCACAAACCACAACTAAACGACAGCGTAATTTGATTTTGTATTAATCGATTTCCGTGTTTTTGATTTTTTTGTTTTTTTTGTTTTACCTGTCCTAATGCAAAAATATCAAAGTGAAGAAAGATAATCTGTATGTTTGTTTAAAATGGGCAAAAAATGAAAAATTGTGACAGATAGGACAAAAACGTAGATGTAATTGTTGGCATCAGCTTAAGCTCATTTTCAGCAGTGATAGGGAGGGAGGCTGGTCACAGGCTGTACACGTTGCCAGTAACCCAGACACACACCGGGCAAACACACTCAAGGGAAAGTTAGAGATACTGTTTGATCTAACAGTCAATTTTGTGAAATGAGGAATGAAGCTTGGATGATCCATCCACAGGGATGACACATAAACTGGCATGTTTTAAACCATTATTGGGTACTAAATAAGACCTCCTTCCTGCAAGCCAATAAGGCTACCAACTTTGCCACCATGTTTGAGCTTTTTAGACAGAATTTACAGGTGCTGGTCATAAAATTAGAATATCATGAAAAAGTAGATTGATTTCAGTAAT